GTCACTTTATAAAGGGATATTCTTAGTTAATCATCCCAGCCAGGTCACTTTATAAAGGGATATTCTTAGTTAATCATCCCAGCCAGGTCACTTTATAAAGGGATATTCTTAGTTAATCATCCCAGCCAGGTCACTTTATAAAGGGGTATTCTTAGTTAATCATCCCAGCCAGGTCACTTTATAAAGGGATATTCTTAATAAATCATCCCAGTCAGGTCACTTCATAAAGGGACAATCAACGGACTCTATACTGGGATTGCCTGATTGGACTGCATTTATGAAGTACGTTTTGTACCGGCACGGATCATGCTACTTTTAGACTGTATTGGTGCATGTTTACATCGCTACCGGCACTTAATCTTCATCTCATTAATAATGTGGAAGGTTTCGTCGTTATTCTGCTGTAATATCTATAAGTCACTTTAATTGAGAAACCACGATTGAGAAATATAAATTTTTTAAAGTTTAAAACAATAATTTCTCATTCATTCATCATTATACCGTTGTAACGCGGACATCCCACTTTTTACATGGAGAGTCACTAGAAATCAGTCACTTTAAAATTATAATCTTAAACACAAGATTTAAAAAAGTTTGAGATTTTGCCCTTCCTTTAAAAATGCAAGGTGGAACAAATGTAAGGTGGGGGTTGGGGTTGAGTTAGTAGATATCCAAAAATTGGTTAACATTTGAATAAGGGAAATTTCTTAAATGCCCAAAACACCAATATTTTAGTTTGACGAATAATTTTTAATAAAATCTAATTGTCTATTATCACTCAGGTCCCCCTTGAAGAACCAATGGTGGTTGGAAAATATATAGATAACCCTCTGCTGATTAACGGACACAAGTCTGACCTACGGCTGTATGTTCTAGTCACTTCATACGATCCTTTAATTATTTATCTATACGAGGACGGATTAGTCAGGTATAATTCTTTATGTAGTAAACTTGGACGGAAAATATTCATAATGCTGATCTATTTGCATAGCCTATTTTTTCGTGCATTTTGAAATACACGAAAATGTCCCGGATTTACTCACATTAAACTAGAGATCACTTACATGAGAATATAATTGTACACTGTACAGTGTACAATTTACTTTAGCTGACTAAAAGTTGGCCCGGTTCTTTAGACGGACTGGAGTTTTAAGTGTCTTATTATCTATATAATAAAACAAGACATTAGTTTATATATATATGTTGTCTATTGCCGGCCAAACGGCTGGACCGATTGAGCTGAAATTTTGTGTGGACACTCATGGGTGGCCGGGGGATGTNATTAAACAAAAACTATTTCTTCCTGTTTTCATTGGTTTCTGTACGCGGCATTCTAGAAATAGATTTCATGTTATGATATTTATCAAGCTGTTTGTAAGCATATTTATTCTCTTGTTTACTTTGGACATTGCAATATAGCCAATACAACATGGATATATAAATACATTACAATATAGCCAATACAACATGGATATATAAATACATTGCAATATAGCCAATGCAACAGGATATATAAATACATTGTAATATAGTCAATACAACAGGACATATAAATACATACAGGGTGGACACTACAATATAGCCAATACAACAGGATATATAAATACATTGCAATATAGCCAATACAACAGGATATATAAATACATTACAATATAGCCAATACAATAGGATATATAAATACATTACAATATAGCCAATACAACAGGATATATAAATACATTACAATATAGCCAATACATATAAATACATACAGGGTGACCCAAAATGGATGAGATTTCATAGACGATAGAATTTATACAGTTTTTGTTCATACATTCAAGGTTATCTACAGCTGTTTTACTTTGTTTGTAAAACCATTTAATGTGCTATTAAAAGACTAAATTCAAAACAGAAACTCTTTCAAATTAAATTTTTATTTAAGCTTGAAAGAGTTTAAGGTCGTCATTATAGGCTCATCCTAATTGTGGGTGACCCTGTAGGTTTTATTTCTGCAGATTATCCGATTCTATTGATCAAGCTAGAGTTGGGAGATTACGTGATTTAATCAACAGTATGATTGCACACTATAAAAGAACAGTAAAGGGACAAACCGGCTATGGAAGGTAGTTGAACTGAGTATGCAGTGTTGTGGAAAGCTTCTTAAGGATTCATTTGAGACATTTAAANGATGTACACAAAGAGAAGATTGGCGCGAAGCGCCCTCTAAGGCTAGTTCACTATATAGGTAAAAACAGATTTAGAGCCAAAGTCCCTAAAAGTTACTCAAACAATTAAAAAATATCTAAATAAAAGCAAAGGAACACCCTAAACTAAGCTTTTAGTATGTACTGCAGGGATCTGCAGTACACTGACCGAAGAAATACTAGGATATTTATGGAAAAAATAAAAATATTTCTAATTAATTGTAATTCATTTACAAAATATTTAATACATATTTAAAAAGCCCTTCAGCAAAATAAAAAAAAATTGAAGAAAAATCTAGATATGGCAAATAAGGCAAAGAAAAAGTTGTGCAAAAATGCAAATTATACAACTCTAGCTTTGGAATCTTGCTTTGCCAGGAGATCTAAACAATTATTCAAACCATGCTAATTACATGTCCGCGGATCTAATCTGTTCCTCATTACAAATTTGAGGCAAATCTGTCAAGGGTTCATGAGTTATGATCGGACAAACTAATATTCTAACAGAGATTAATATTTCTATAATATATATAAAGTAGTAAAGTTTATTTGTTGTATGTTCGATCATAACCCAGGAACCCTTTGACAGATTTTCTTCGATTTTCAATTGGGAACTCACAGCGGGGGTATCTATGACATGGGCAACGCTCACGTGGATTTAACGGTTCTGTCAATATTTAAGAAAGCTGTGACTTTCGATCACAATTTGACCCATTAAACATAATTTGTTAGCCATTTTTCTTAAATACTTTTTTTGTTGGCATATGCATTTTGAATGAAAATGTATAAAATAAACAAATCCGTAAAGTAAATGATTATTGAATTATAGACCAAAACACGTTTGATTTCAAAAAGAAGAAACAGAATACTGCTGACTCTGGTTAGTCCTGGGTGCGCTGGGTTCCCAACCTATAGTAAGACATATAGATACTTTGTCTAGGTTTGCTACAGTTAAATATGATAATTCTGGAAAGAATCTGTGGAATCCTTGTATGCATTTATGTAATTATTCAATCAATAAATATCATTCAGGTGACACTTTTATTTGTAAATATCTGGACTGTAAAAGAGTAATTTCAATGCCCGATTTACAACGATACTCTTGAAACCTTTATCTGATAAAAATGTGGAAGGTATTGTCGCCTAAAAGTGTTTAATTCTGACGATTCCTTTATGTTTTCTTGCAGTAGAAAAACAGCAATTGAAAATAATCCGTTTTAAATATTATAAACATTGATACCTAGTGCATACTTGATCAGACAAAGCTGTTAAGGGTATCATTGTGAATTGGGAAAATTGGCTTCTTTGCATGGAGGGTCACGCAAATTTACGCTTACAGTCCCATTTATAAAATAATTAATGAAGTCATTAATGGTGTTAATACAATAAATTTAAATTATTGTATTGATATTTTTTCGCCACTCTTATTCTGTTACTTCTAGCTGCAGTAGTAGTAAATGAACAGAATTTAAAAACATCCGTTATTAGTATTTTGTTGTAAATGAGTATTATTTATTATTTTCATTTTCATTATTTTTATTATTATTTTTATTTTTGAATATTTTTTCTGTTTTAGATTACATAAAAGGAAGTGATCCTGATAATGATGATCAAGGGCATAAATGGTCACTAAGGTAAAACAAAACTTAAACGTTAGGCTTATAATTTTATAGATTTTTTGGGGACGCTTTTAGACGTTAATTGTGGTTAATTGGAAAAAATTAAATTCCTAATTTAAAAAAAGGTTTTTCTTTTAAATAGGTAAATTTTCTATTTAACATCACTGAAGCAATTATGGTGATTAACCCTACATTTGTAACGTGGGTTGCCCGGTTATCTAAAGGAATTGAGTTTTTGCCACAAACTCAATTTTTCCAATCCATATATCTTTGCAACCTGGTGGTGTAAACTTTTTGATATTTGATCCAACAGAATTCATAGTTTGAAATATCAAAGGTCTTTAACATTGGCTTACAAAGATATAGGGAGTTAGTGGCAAAGTTTTAATTTCTTTCCAGCCATAAAATAGATATATCTACGTAGTTTTAGATAAGTCGGACATGCAACGTAACTACATCGATGCGCATTCAGTTTATTTCGAAATATTTTCCGTCATATTTTGATCTCTCGTTCAAAATCTGTCAAAAATAGCGTAAACAACTTTAGTTATAAAAATACTCATGATACATAGCCCAAAAAATCTAAATTAGAATGATGAAAACAGGTTCTAAGGTTAAAAATCACTGAAGTTTCAAACAGTACATTTAGTTATCGCAAAATCGCTCTATATAAATGGAGGGTCACTTTAAATCCTTCCTGAACAGTCCCTTTAATATTTATTTCTTATAATTTAGTGCATACCTGAAACATTTAAAAGCAAATAATATTGATACCGGCCAGCTGATGCAGAGTATAGAAGATGTGATAATAAAGGTAAAATAGAAAAATTATATATTTCACTTTCACAGTGGTCAAAAGATTGCAAATTGACTGAAGCTAAAAACAAGTTTGAATTCAAGTTTAAAAATGTAAACATATGTTTAAGGCAACATTAAATTAAAGTGAATTAGTCAAGTAAAATCAGGGGCCAAGGCGTTGCGACGCTTTAAAGTGGATCCAGTTTGGAAAATGAATGCGAATTGTCAGTGCAGTCTGGATCTATGTGCTTTACAGAGTACAGATGCTGAAGGGCTGCAATAGCACAATTTACTTTTTAAAAATTTTGAAGATTTTTGGACGTTTAAAACGTTTCACAAATATCTGAGAGTTTTACAATCTTAAATATTTTCTTCTTCTTTTGCTTTTCTTACACTATGCAGATTTTAACCCTGAGAGAAAATATGTGCAAAAAAACGAGCAGAAAATGACCCCAAAACGATCATTTGGTTTGTATTTCTAGTTAGGGTAAACACTTTTGCAAAGTTTCATAAAAGTGAACTTTTACTGCACACAGTTTTAAAATGTTGAAACTGTCCGAAAATCTTAAAACTGTTAGAAAAACTATAATCTTGTCCATCACTATCTATGATATGGTGTTCGTGTAAATATGAGTCAACACCACTCAATTTGCCAAGCTAAAAACATTCCCGTGCTTCTACTAAGTTCCCAAATCCAAATTTTGAGGCAAACGGGTTAAATGGTTCATGAATTATGATCGGACAGATAAACAGAGATTTTTTAAAAATTTATATGTATATAGATAAATCTGTTGTTTTTAGAGTATTGTATCAGTTGAATTTCCTGTAAACAGTGCTTGTAAGATGTTTGTACCACACAGGTAAATTAATGTACTGAAACATGTACTTTTTTAACTTTAATATTTTATTTTGATTTAATTTTACAATATTCTTGAATATTTATTTGATATCAGATGAACATATTTTGAGATTTATATGTTTTTTGTTCTTCATTTTCTTCTTGTTCGTACATCTTTCAATCATATTCAGCTAATTTTGAAAATTAAAAGTAAAGATTTTTTTGGATGTCCTTGTAGTTCGCCACTCTTCAAGAAAGAACAATTTTTAAGGATCTTGCTTTTTTTCTTAACTCTGTAATGCATTGAACTTGCTGAGAAGATCTTGCTTTCTTTTCTCTGAATTCTATAGAATAGGTTACTCTTGAGTTGTGTCTGACTAACCAAAAACACAATTTCCTGATATTTTCTTGGGAGGGGGGGGGGGACGGCTTCCAAGCCCCCATCTCCAATATCAAGAGATTTCCCTTCCAATTTTTCCTGTTCAATTTTCTTCTTTCTTCTTGCCTCTTGTTTCTTGTTTCTACACTTTGAGGCCTCTCCAAATTGTTCTTTTGACATTGAGTTGTGGAGCAAGTAGGAGAAATAAGGAGGTTTGTAGGAGGAAGGGTATAGGGGATTGCTCCCTGTGTTCCTTCTATTATACTCTTTCCAAGTTAAGGGGCTATAAGGAAAACCCATAACTGCACCCCTTATGCAAAATGGGGAGTTGTAAGCTCTAAAGCCCCATTGAGAGGAATCTTCTACAGCAGTCCAGTCCTGTTTAACAGCTTAATTTAAATCGAAATTGAGATTTAAAGTCGTCTTCATTGTATTGATTTTATCACCTACAACTGTATATTATATATATTGCTGCACATGTACTGTGTAATATACGTATGCTGCTACATGTACTGTAATAGATATTTACTGCTACCTGAACTGTAATTTATATGCACTGCTGCATATTCTGTAATATATATATGCATTGCTACATGTACTACTACTTTACAGTAATTTACATGCACTACTTCATATACTTTAATATTTATGTACTCTTTTATGTACTGTTAATATTTTGAATATAAAATAATCTTTGAAATGAAAATGTAGAAAAGTGGAAAATATCTGAATAAGTGAGTGTACTATGTATTGAAAATACTCGTATTGTAAAAAAAGTGTAGATAATGGTTATGTTCTACAAATATGCGTTTAATAGACATTTATATATATGTAAAAGATATCTTTGTTGATCTATATTTTACAATTACAATCAATTTTTGTTTTAAGAAATAATTGCTTTGAACTATACGGGTTTGATATCCTGGTAGACAGCGAGCTGAAGGTACCCTTTAAAAATAACAAATATCTTCAAAAAACTATTTTTTTTTTAAATGCCGGAAGATTAGCATCTCTTGTAATTATTCATTGTTAATCTTTCTGAACACACCTTTCTACTTTATTTACATTTTAATAAATAAATTTTTTTTTCCCCATTTACAGTTTTAATTGGTAAATTTTCGATGTTCGAAAAATGTTAAAAATTGGAAGTCTGAGAGGAAATCATTATCATTGGAGTACACTCTCATTGATATTATGTTCTGGAATACAGTCCCTTTAATGAATATTTATGTTCAGGAATACAGTCCCATTAATGAATATTTATGTTTAGACATGCAGTTCCATTAATGAATATTTATGTTTAGACATACAGTCCCTTTAATGAATATTTATGTTTAGACATGCAGTCCCATTAATGAATATTTATGTTTAGACATGCAGTCCCATTGATGAATATTTATGTTTATACAAACAGTCCCTTTAATGAATATTTATATTTATACATGCAGTCCCATTAATGAATATTTATGTTTAGACATGCAGTCCCATTAATAAATATTTATGTTTAGGCATGCAGTCCCATTAATGAATATTTATGTTAAGACATACAGTCCCTTTAATGAATATTTATGTTAAGACATACAGTCCCATTAATGAATATTTATGTTTAGACATGCAGTCCCATTAATAAATATTTATGTTTAGACATGCAGTCCCTTTAATGAATATTTATGTTTAGACATACTGTCCCTTTTATGAATATTTATTTTTAGACATACAGTCCCTTTAATGAATATTTATGTTAAGACATGCAGTCCCTTTAATGAATATTTGTGTCAAGACATACATTCCCTTTAATGAATATTTATGTTTAGGCATACAGTCCCTTTAATGAATATTTATGTCAAGGCATAAGTCCCTTTAATGAATATTTATGTTCAGACATACAGTCCCTTTAATGAATATTTATGTTTAGACATACAATCCCTTTAATGAATATTTATGTTAAGACATACAGTCCCTTATTTGAATATTTATGTTTAGACATACAGTCCCTTTAATGAATATTTATGTTAAGAAATACAGTCCCTTTAATGAATATTTATGTTAAGAAATACAGTCCCTTTAATGAATATTTATGTTAAGACATACAGTCCCTTTAATGAATATTTATGTTTAGACATACAGTCCCTTTAATGAATATTTATGTTTAGACATACAGTCCCTTTAATGAATATTTATGTAAGGCCTGGTTGATAGAAGTAAACCTGTCTCCGTCCCTAAACGTTGATACTCCAGTGGATCTAAAAATTAAATCTGCGATGATTAGGAACAAAAACAATTTTTGAATTTTTAACAAATTATTGTGATTTTTTTTTATTTTACAAACATACAGACAAACGAACAAAACTACTTCTTTCAATTTTTCAATTTTCAATTTTCCAAATGTTTTAGTCTTAAAAATAAACCTTGAGGCCTGAACATTTAAAACTTCTAAATCAACAAAAATATCCTTAGGGAAATACAACAATTATTCTTGAGTTTGCTGGTTACCACTGTAAAAAGAAAAAAAATCAGTAATTACTTTATTTCATATTTATGTAATTGACAGGCCCATGACACAGAAATTGTGCAGTGTAAACAGACTCATTTCACTTAGTTAGCGAGTTAGTAAATATAATCAAGTAAAACTATTTGATTTGTAACAATATTAATTGATTAATGATTAAATATTGATATAATGTCGTCGTCATTTTCCATAATGTTCTGGTTCTCACTGTACTTGATCTGCAGATCTAAATATGTTTAAAATATTACAGGATGATTCAAGTAAAAGATACAGGAGCAGACAAAACGTAAATGCAGACACTAGAAAATATGCAGCTATCAGGTATGATGATTAAAGAGACTGTAAACTAATTTTGTAGAGCCCGCTCTAGGTTCTAACAGCTCAAAATTGTTATAATAGAGATTAAAATAAGCGGTAGTACTTAAAGGTAAAAGACTAAGTATCTACAATTTCAACCTCTACTTAAAGAATGGCATGTCTGATTGATCGATTCCCATCGATACTTTTACCCTTTAAACATTAAGAGCTAATGGAAACCAATGTTTTTACGTTAAAATTGATTATTTCGAATTGCGAGTTCTCTATAAAATTGATGTGATATTTTTAAACTTTGGGATCGAAACTGTGAAATATGAAATAGACTCAAGTTATGATTTGAAATAGTCCAATAAACATGAAAGCCAACAATTATTTTCATAGATGATTTCTAGCTGCTGGTGAAACTATTGATTTATGACAACATCAAATACACACAATATTGCTTGAATGTCGTCTTTCTATTTCACAGTTTTATGGATACCACTAAATATAAAGTTTTAATCTCTGTATGTCTGTTTATTTGTATGTCGTCCGATCATAACTTATGAATCCTTTGACCGATTAGCCTCAAATGTTAATTGGAGAACTCGGGAGAACCACGGGAATTTTAAATTTTATTTTAAGATTCTGAGTTGAGTGGGCCGGGTCCAAGGAAAAAAAGCTAAAATCGTAATTTACGACCAAACGCGGAAAAATGACGGGAGTAACAATGAGTATCCTGGGCAACGCTGGGTTCTTAAACTAGTATAATATAAATGTATTTTTTAGATTGGCATCGTCTACATCTTCATTATCTCAAGATTTGTCAAGAATGATTCGAGATGCAAAGGTATTTTATATGCAATAATTTTTTTTTCTTTCGTTTTCTTAATTTTTATAATGTAGAAAAGCAAATATTTTAAATAAACAATTTTGAACATTTCTTTATACTATACATATGCCAAATTCGGATACTGAGAGAAATTAAACACAAAATATCGAACTAAAACTAACTAAAACGAATTAAAACAAACTAATATGAACTGAAACGAACTAAAACGGACTAAAATGGACCAAAACGAACCAAAACTAACTAAAACAACAAAACAAACCAAAACGAACTAAAACGAACTAAAACAAACTAAAACGAACTAAAACAAACTAAAACAAACTAAAACAAACTAAAACGAACTAAAGCAAAGTTAAACGAACTAATAAAACTAAAACGAACTAAAACGAACTAAAACGAACTAAAACGAACTAAAACAAACTAAAACGAACTAAAACGAACTAAAACAAACTAAAACAAACTAAAACGAACTAAAACAAACTAAAACGAACTAAAACGAACTAAAACGAATCAAGAACAAATAATATTTTTGCGTTAGTTAAAAAAAGTTTACAAAACGAACAATATGCAAAATTGAACTTTAGGATATTTTCGAATATGCTGAGAAAAAAGTGTTTGCAAAACTATCATTTAATCATTCATTTCATGGTATGGTCATCATCATATGTGTAATTTTAAAGATAAATGTTGTCATTTTTAGAATTGTTAAACTTCCCTTTTGCCTTTTATTGGATACACCCTAACAGACGAACAAACAGATAGACAAGCAAAGTATATATATATGGATATATATTGTGAACGCAGGGTGAGATCTAAGTTTAAAACAGGATACGAAACAGTCAGGTACACCTTCATTAACATAAGAATATATTCAATTGCAGATAGAATATACAGAGAGTGTCTCTAAAAACACTCAGATCCATAAAACGGTGGAAAAAATAAATAGCTAGCAATTGTACACTGTACAGTGTACACCAATTTTTCTTAATATTTTTATTTTATTTATTTATTTTACTCCATATTTTTATTTTCAAGACTTGAAGTTATGTAAAAAAGATTTTAATAGAAAATACAATATATTTAAATCAATTTATGGGAACGTTGTTAGAATTTACATCTGATCTTCAAAAAAAGAAAATGTTAAATCTTATTTAAAATCTGAAGTAAGAGGAAAAATTCCATTCTGATGAAATCAAAATAAGTTTTACTAAAATAATAAAGGAATTGAGTCTTTGCCACAAACTCTGATTTTATAATCACTATAACTTTGAAACCAAATGCTGTAGACCTTAGATATTTCAAACTATGAATTCTGTTAGATCAAATAATCTAAGTTTGAAATATCAAAGGTTTACAACATCGGGCTCTAAAGATATTGAGGTTTAAATATTTGAATTTGTTCCAAAGACTCAATTCCTTTACATAAATATAAATTCATAAATACAAAGATAAAGTTTGTCTTTCTGTGTTTTTCAGAGGAAAAAATAAATAGTTTTATTCTAATTAACGGGGCCGGGTTTACTGGTGTTTCCAATATACATGTATTCGTTAAAAATAATCACCCTCTCTCTTTAGAAAAAAAATTTTTACCTCAAAATCTTTCTAAATATCATTCTTGAAATATTAAAATAGAATAAATAGAATAAATTAATTTTAGTTTTATATAGGAAACGAAGCCAAAGTGCTGGAGGCAAAATAGAGAAGAAATCATTGAAGGCAAAAATAAAACCAAAACAGATTAAAATTAAGCGTTGCATAATTTAGAATAATTTAATAATCTTTAAAAGTGAAAAAATGATAAAGTTTTGTTATAAAAAGTAAAAATTTAATATTTTAATCATTGACCTCAGATATTGCACAGAATTCGATGTAAAATTTATATATCTACCATTAAATGGTGTCAGTACTTTTAAAACTTTGCAATAGCCTATTTGTAAATAATATATCAAAAATTGTTAAAAACAAGTTTTTAGCAAAGGAAAAATTTCTAAAAGAGAGCTTAGCACTACGACTGTTAAACTTCTGTTACGGTCTTAAATAGTTAAATAGTTAATCGCCTGTTCAACGAAATAACCAACCTTAAATTCCCTACTTTTTTATTTCCAGGGAGGATAATTACTTATCCTCCCTATTTACAGGGAGGATAATTACTTATCCTCCCTATTTACAGGGAGGATAATTACTTATCCTCCCTCTTTACAGGGAGGATAAGTAATTATCCTCCCTGTGATCCATACAGATTTATCAAATAAATAGTTCTCTAATTTTTTTAGAACCCCAAAAAGGTCTTGGAGGCCCTCGGCTCAGTGGTTTTCCCCTCAATTTAATTATCCTCCCTTAATCTCCCGGTTAAGTAGTAATTAATAGTTATAAGTGAACACGTCACACAGCCATTGTGCAGTGTGCACAGATCCCTTTTATTCAATAAGTCGCTAATCAAACTTCAAGATTGCTTAAAGTCTTCTGCCTATTCCACAGTTTTATAGATCCCACTTGAAATAAAAGTGTGTAACTTTTATGCTCCGCGTTCAGTGGAAGTTTACCAAGAATCCAAAAGTCGCCTTCCTAATACACTGTTTCATGGATCTCGCAAGGTTTGTTTTCTGGGAACTAGGAAGATATGTCCGAAGAAGGGGAGGATGAAGATAAAAAACCTTCTCCGATAGAGGCAAGAATAGCACAGGTAAACAGGATGCAAGTTTTAGTTCCATTTTCTCTTCATAGGTGTCTCTCCATGCAAAGATGACAATGCCCGATTTTTAACAGTACCCTTGAAAGCTTTGTCTGATCAAATATGAATTAGATATTAATGTTTTTGTTTATTTTCATTTGCGGGTTTTCTGCGAAATTGACGTGCGCATTTTTTGTTGGAGCAATGGAGAAACTCGCAGAATTAAATGAACACTTTTCGATTCAGATAAGCGCCGGTAATTTACACATTTTTTATCAGATAAATGTTTGAATGCTACCGCTTTAAATCGGGCATTGCCATCTTTGCATGGAGGGTCACTTGAACCCTTTCAGGAATGACCCAAGCTGGTTTAACAATTCGGTATTTGTCCCACATTTGACCGTTTAAAAGTATATTTTTAAAACAGTTTTGTCGGCTGAGACGGTTTAAAGGAAAAAGTATACAAAGGCAAGTACAGAGTGACCCATAAAGAATGAGCCTGTAAGATATCGACCCGAAACTCTGTAATTTTAATAATTTTAAGGCTGAACAAAGTCTTACAGTCGATCGTTAAATTGTTTATTTAATGATTACGTAACGCATGAATCAAGTAGACAGTTGCAGGAACATGGATCACGTGGATTTAACGGTTCTGTCAATATTCCAGAAAGCTGTGACTTTCGATCACAATTTGACCCATTAAACATAATTTTTTTTAGCCTTTTTTCTTAAATACTTTTTTGTCGGCATATGCATTTTGAATGAAAATGTATAGAATAACAAATTCGTAAAGTAAAAGATGGTTGAAATATAGACCAAAACACGTTTTATTTTCAGTAGAAGAAACCGAATTCTATTCACTCTAGTTAGTCCAGTGTGGGATATAAGGAAACAGATAGTATTACTTTTGTACGTTCGTCTCTGAAGTCTCATCCTTTGTGGGTAACTCTGGACTAAGTTTTAAAGATTATTAAGTTGAACTAAAACCGCGATTGAATTTAAATATATAGCCCTGGTTAATACTGGGTGGCCCATATATTACTTTGGTCATTATTGTTTCAAAAAGAATTTGGTGTAACTTCAAGTGCACAACTAATTTAACAGTTACATGCATGATTACTATAGAAACAATGCCCTTTAAGCCTGAATCTATGCCACAATGAGGAAGATATCATCGTTTTTCTTTCTCAAAATTTATGGAAGTTTACTTCTATGACCCTGCTGCATAAATCACTTCTAAAGAAACCCCAAAAAGATATTATCATTTTTTAGATAATCAAAAATAAGACTAATGTTTGAAAGGTACCACAATTGTTAATTGGGTGGGTGTGCAACTTAGAGAGTTACTTGACAGTTCATTTAACATGTGTTGTAGTATGAGAGACCCCTGAGTAAAGGAGTGAGAACAGGATATAAAGAGAAGAAGGAGAAAGATCCTGAAAACCTGGCAAAAAGGAAAACGGAGAAAAAAGAGAGATCACAGGTTAAAAACTAAATTTTTTTAGGAAAAAGAAAATTAAGAAATCAGGAAAAACTAGGAATATTCTTCAGAACTGAATACTCGTCAAAATTCAAAATTTTAATACATTGATAATATTTCCAATCCTACGAATGATGTACACTTTTGATATTTCAGTTTGCGGATTGATGTATTGATTTTATTTTGTTATTTTTTTAAAATTTTTTTTTATGTTGGGAAAAGAAACAATTTAATTTTGATATTTTAAATTTTACAAAAAGAACATTTATATATTAATTTTTTTTGACTCGATGGCTTGTTGATATTTTATCAGTTATGTTGGTATAGGAGCGAATTTAAAGAATTTGAGCTGAATATTTACTGCCAGTTCAAATTTTAACCACCGATTTAATGTTAAAGATTAAGGAAGGATTTGAATCAGTGATTCAAATTTGAACCGTCGGCAGGCAGTTCAAATTCATGTTAATTTTATGAGACAACAAGTTTTCGTTTATTTGGATTGCAGGTTTGTCCATATTCCTTATATAAGTGTATTTAATATTCTTGCTTTATTTTAATTAAATATTTATCAAACCAACTTCTCAAGATTTTTCAACCAACATAAGGAAGTTTTCTTCTAACAAACGTTTTAAGTAATACACTTAAATTGGTAGTTAGAATGTTTGATTGATGGTCTGGCAATAATGTCGGATGCCCGCTGTATTAAAGTACATAAAGTTAAGGTTTCTGTGAAATTTGTTTAAAAATGCATGAGTGAGTAATGTTAATGACCGAGCTGAGCAAAATCTAATGAACATCATTGACAATAGTTAACCTATATTACCCTCGATAACTAGTTCAGTCATTTCAAGATTGTTTATGTGGTTGTAACCTAACAGTCTGATTTGGATTAAAATTATAGACCATCATCAGCCTCTTATAAACAAAACTTTTGCATGTTTAGGTTCTGCGTGAGAAAATGGTTAAAATGATTGAATCGGGATTACAACTTAGTGAATATCAGGTTAGGGTACAGTCGTCGATATCATTTATCTGATATCATATAAATATTTAAAAATATTGTAAAATCTTATTAAAATAAATTATTAAAGTTAAAAAATACGAATTTATTAAAGGTGTGAAACCGGTGTTTAAGAAAAATGGCAACATCTTTTTGTCTGAGTGTTTGTTTGTTTTTATCCAAAAAATCTTAAAACAGCTGAATCGATCAGGCCCAATTTTTTTGTGGTAACTCGCATGATCCCAGAGACCATGATGAAACATTGCATAACATCATTTAATAACTTTGAAGACTCATACCAAAAGATGTGTACAAACCGTCCATAAACTTATTTGATAAACTAGTTAACTTTTTTTTTTAGGCTCGGAAGGCATTTGCTGTTTATCTTCACTGCATCCTACAGAGACTTTCAGATTTTCATCCTGAAAATGGCGATCAAAACCAGATTGATCTAGTTCTTAAATTCCTACAGAAGGTATTAAAACCAGATTGATCTAGTTCTTAAATTCCTACAGAAGGTATCAAAACCAGATTGATCTACGTTCTTAAATTCCTACAGAAGGTATTAAAACCAGATTAATCTAGTTCTTAAATTCCTACAGAAGGTATCAAAACCAGATTAATCTAGTTCTTAAATTCCTACAGAAGGTATCAAAACCAGATTTATCTAGTTCTTAAATTCCTACAGAAGGTATTAAAACCAGAATGATCTAGTTTTTAAATTCCTACAGAAGGTATCAAAACCAGATTGATCTAGTTCTTAAATTCCTACAGAAGGTATTAAAACCAGATTGATCTACGTTCTTAAATTCCTACAAAAGATATAAAAACCAGATTGATCTAGTTCTTAAAAACGCCATATTTAGGCTGCTCTGAGTTTACGTGAATCCTATTCCCTGAAGCCCCCCAGCACTAAGCTGAACGGGAAGGACCGCGCAGCGGTGGTGGCCAGCGAGCTCGGGGACTTCCTCGCACACTACAAGAAGGAGACTGAGATGTTCACGGTCTTCAGGGAGGAGGCAGGGATGATACCTAGGTAATGAGAGGGCGGAGGACGAGGGGGGAGGTGAGGGCTATTTTTTTGGGCTGGAAACTTTTTGTTGGATACTCATATTCCTGATTGCTCAATTTCAATATCCACTGAGAGCACTTTTAATTTGAGGACCAATAGTTGATCTTAATAAATAAAAAAATTCTTATTTTAGACATATTTTTAAAAGAGATAAATAAAAAAGTTCTTACTTTTGACCAATCTGTGATGAAATTAAAATAATCTAATTTTAGACGTATCTTCGAAAGAAATAGATAAAAAATTCTTATTTGACAGATATAATTAAAAAATCTTATTTTTGACAAACCTTTAATGGAGATAAATACTTGAATTCTTATTTTAGACATATCTTTGAAGAGTTCATAGCATTTGCCAGTGATTCAGGTATAGAGTTTTTTTTCTACAGTGGGTCTCGTTAAACTGTAACTGTAGCGTTTTTAAACGTTTTGGACCGTTTTAAGAAAAATTTGAATAAAATTTCAGATTTCAGAACTTTTTTATGTTTACGTTTACTGCACTTTGCAATATCTTTATTCTAATTTTTTTTTTAATGGAAAAACGGTCCAAAAACGATGGTTACAAAATAATCGTTTTGCGTCGTTTTTGGGTTGTTTTTTTGCTTTTATCTTTTTTTCAGGTCAAACTTTGTAATAAAGGTAAATGTTTAGAGTAAATAAATTTGAAAACATTTGCTCTTTTACACTGTGTCCTATTTTGTTCCTGAAAGAAAAAACGAACCAAAAACGAACTGAAAACGAATCAAAAGCGAACCAAAAGCGAACCAAAAACGAACCAAAAACGAACCAAAAACGAACCAAAAAACGAACCAAAAACGAACCAAAAACGAACCAAAAACGTACAAAAACGAACCAAAAACGAACCAAAAGCGATCCAAAGACGATCCAAAAACGATCCAAAAACGAACCGAAAACTAGCCAAAAGCGATCCAAAAACGGACCAAAAACGAACCAAAAACGATCCAAAACGATCCAAAAACGAACCATTAACGAATCTGTGAAACAGGAAGACATAATTCCTTATGTGTTTATACTTGATGTTGTTCCAAATAGTTTTAAACACATTTTATTAAGTCAAATAGGTCTGTGTTCATAGTACAATTTACAATTGCTGTGCACATGTTTTTATTGTTTATTGAACTATTAAAAATAATAATGTGAGTCTAACAGTCGTCTTCAATTTCCACAATTTTATGCTTCCCACTGTATTATAAATATCGTAAATAAAAACAATTATTGAATAGTGATTCCAAACTCCAGGCCTTCATTCTATGCACAAAATACAGATTAATCGCAATTAAACCTAGTTTCTAATCCCTAAACCTTAGCACCCTGATTCCTCATATCGTACAGACCATTGTCTTTTATAATTAAGAAATTTGCAAGATTAAATGGTTGGAATATCAAAGGGACAATAGCGTTCCTATATTAGCATACACAATATTCATTGTAGTTCCTATATTAGCTTACACAATATTCATTGTAGTTCCTATATTAGCATACACAATATTCATTGTATAGTTCCTATATTAGCTTACACAATATTCATTGTAGTACTAAATTAGCATACACAATATTCATTGTAGTATTAAATGACACTCCAGTTTAAGAGGGATATGCCTGATTCACCATGGCAAACTTAAAATCTTTAACTTATTAAAAAATAGAAAAATTATTTATTTTTTTTGAAGCTTTTAAGGTGCTTAATTCTGACAATGCCTCGATTGTTTCTGAAGCAGAAATCCGCGGTCATGTTTGGAAAATAATCCCAAAGATAAAAAACATGGATATCGCGTTTTTACTTGATCACGCAAAAATTATAACACTACCGTTGTGAATCGAACTAGGGTTCCGCTTGAAAACTCGTGTACAGTCCCTTTAAAACCCTTTTTTAGATCTAGAAGATGTGCTGACCCTTCAAACTAAACTATACCGTTGTGCCCATATATTCCTGGGTAAATGTTTGCCGCCCGTCACCTCTAGAAGGAATCCTCTACTAAGAACAGCCTATGGTATATCTCCAGATAGAAACCTGAGGGATAGACAGGTATACTAGTCTTTTTTATTTTTCACAAAAAATATAATCCTACGTAAAATATTGTTTTCTTGCGATAGAAGCGGTTTTATTTTCATCTTATGTAGTATTAGATATACGCAAGCATGATTTGCTCACAATTATAAAGTTATGATCACAGACTGCTCATTAGCTCCAATTGTATAGGCTAAGTATGCCTTAAGTTGTCCCGGCACGCATGCTACATTTCCATAAGAGGTTTTTTGACTGCCATCTAACAGCCACTTTTTGTATGTAGTACCCATTTACAATTTTTAGTTAAACGCTCTAACTTTTAGCATGGAACGTAAATTAAGTCTATTTTTGAAGATTATGTATTTCGTACCCAAAGGATCCTTAAATGTCCCTAAATGCAGACGTTTGTTTATTGGATGTGTACTCCAGTTGTACCAATAACCCCTGATGTGGAAAATATCACATTTTCTAGCCTTTGATAGATCTCTATTCTCTTATCTCTGGTTATGGCAATTATTACATAGTTGATAACACAAGAGTACTGAAAAGCAAGCCAAAATATAATGAGAGGCTTTTATTACTCTTCATTGAGTAAATCTTCCAACGTACAATGTTGAAATATCGATTTTTATTACTCTGAATAAGTAAAATGTACTGATGAAAATTAGTAATATTTCGACAAAAACGGTTGCATTTTCAACAACAGTTTATCTCATGATATAGTAATTAGTAAACAGTTATTCCTCAGCAGGCCCTACAAATTATTAACTGACTAGTTCCTGAGCTATTCTAATATATCACAGTTAGAGATGGGCACAGTTATTGTGAACGAACAAAAAGTTTTCGTGAACAATGGTATCGTTCAGAAAATAAAACGATAGATGGACGAATGAACTTGAATCGTTCAGAGAAATGAAAAAATTATTGGTTTTCTGAAAACAAATAAAAATAAACGAAAGATTTAAAATCCTTCGAACGAACTCGAAAAGACGATATTTTTTACTGAACAAACAATTTTTCCAAAATAATTTAAAAAATGATAGTTTTTTTATCGAACGAACGATTCATAACTAACTTTTGAAAGGACGATCGTTTTTTGTCTGAACCAACGATTTTTCTTAACAATCGTTCAGTGAGAAAACAAACGAAATAGATGGAAAATGAACGAAAATATTGAGAGCGAACGAAATAAAATGTTTTTGAACGATTGAAAAAAAACGAATTGTGAACGAACGAAATGAACAAAAAGCCTACCGTACCCACTGCCCATCTCTAGTCACAGTGAAACCCTTTCTACTTCTAATTTGATTAAATATGGACGTAGTGCATGGTCTTTAATTTAATCATGTTTGTAGTGTTCAATGAGAATGTCAGCTAGAGCTAACCCTCCTGTATCTCCAATGTATCATTTACCTGTACCCTCTCCCCCTCGCTGTATAGATATACAGGTAAATTACCCTCTCTACCTCGTTGTATAGTTATACAGGTAAATTACCCTTTCTACCTCGCTATATAGTTATACAGGTAAATTACCCTTTCTACATCGCTGTATAGATATACAGGTAAATTACCCTCTCTACCTCGCTGTATAGATACAATACAAGAAATGTAAACTATTGGTAGAGCTCACAATTTAAAATAATGCAAACATCTTCAATAATTTTTGTATTTGTTGTTGTAGGTTTTTAAACTTTTCTAAATCAACCATTTTTATACATTTTTTCCCTCTAAACTGGCCGGCCATAACCAGGGAGTAAGGAATAGAAGTGAGATATAACTGACGCGGTTCGCCCTACCATATGAGCACACATGCTTTGCAGACGGGTACTCCATTTGAATAAGAAATATTTGTCTGGTGTACAATTACCGCGTATACAATAACCTATTTTGAATATTTCTTATTCAAATGGAGTATCGTCTTCAAAGCACGCATAATCATATGGTAGGGCCAACCGCGTCAGATTATATCTCCCTTCTATCCCTTACTCCCTGGCCATAAACCACAAACATTAAGTCTCTTTTTATCTAGACCGGAGCAGGAGAAGATGGTTTAACTGGAAAGGAAGGTGGCGGGGGAGGAGGAGGAGGAAGGGGAGGAGGTGGAGGGAAGGATTCTAGAAGAATAGAGGAAGGAGTTTATCTTAGAGAAGGATATCCCCGGGTTGCCTCAGCGCCCCTGCAATCCTAGCGATAAGCTAATTAGTATCAAGCGATTAGCTAATTAGTATCATGATTCAGTCCAAAACCTGCTCAGAAAAATTGTATCTTTTGTTGTATCTACAGTGAGAACCAGAAAACTCTGAAATAGGAAGACGACTTTTAGACTTAAGTTCATTAAAATCAGAAATGTGCAGTGTAAACAGACCGTTTCACTTAATAAGTGATTTATTTACTTACAAGTAGAGCTATTCGGTTCCTCTTCCTATTCCACAGTTTTGTGGTTCTTACTGCATTTGGATTTCCTTGACATTTTTTTCTTCAAACATGTTTAGACTTAAATGATTTATCCGTAATTAGAAATTACTTTAAACATTTGAAAGAACACAAAGTTTTGTTCGAAATTGTGAACAGATAGTTAGGCATGTTTCACACACCTGATATCCCTCTCAAAGGCTAGGTGAATTTCACATAAAGCTTTAAGGTTACTTTTTTGCAGCCGTTTATAATCCCTAAACGTTTCTACGGTGAGAACCAGAAACCTCTGGAATAAGAAGCAATCTGAAAATGTATTTAATGCTGCACTGTTGCAAAGTTTTACCACACACTTAATAAATCACTTATTAGTGAAATGGGTCTGTACAGTGTACATTGTCGCGTGTCATGTTCTTTGGACTATTTACAATCATAGCTTAAGTCTAAAAGTCGTCTTTGTATTCCACAGAATTTTGGTTCTCACTGTGAAGGCAAAAACCGAACCAACTAAATGCACACATAACTAACTGTAGCTTACCTAATTCGTTTCTCAAACAGTTCTATTAAATTGTTAATATTTATTTTTTTTAATTAACCCCTGTTATTTACTCTCAGTGAATGCCCCACCTAAAAAATATTTTCAATTTATAAATTTCGATTTTATAAATTCTTATTGATCGGCAAAGTTAGACCAAAGAGTTAACAAAATCATTGATCTGGAAGAATTAATTCTAGGTTAATTCAAGCCAATATTTCCAGAATTGGGAACTTTTGAATATGCGCATTAGATTAAACTTTAACGGATTATCTCTTAAAAAAAATTTTAAATTAAATAAATTTTTTATTTGGAATTTTAGATTTTTTGCTGTTGATAACTTTTGTTTAAGTTTGTTTGCATTAATTGAAAATGTTTATTTTAACCTATATCAATACATACAAAACAGAAACTAAATCCCTACCCTACCCAGGGCTGTTTTTTCATCCGAAAGGGACTGTAAGCCCAATTTCTAGTGACCGTTCATGCATAACAGTATCCTTTAAAGCTTTGACTGATCAAGGTAGAATTAGATATCAACTTTTATGAATAAACAATGATTATTTTCAATTGTGGGTTCTCTGCACAACTTAAACCAAGAAAAAAGACAATATCCACAAAAATAAAGGTTTCAAGGGTACCATTGTAAATCGAGCATTGCCATCTTTGTATGGAGGGTCACTTGAAATTACGCTTACAGTTCCTTTAACCCTGAAAGTCTGAAGAGGACAGTTTCTGCCCCTCCCCCACCAATTTATAAAATAAGATAGTTTCCCGACAACCTTGTATATTTCATAAGTTTAAAATAGCTTTTTGAAACTGCCAAAATCTATAATTTGTCAAGAAATATTTAGATAAAAAAATCTAAACACTTTGTTTACATAAAAGGCTACTGCAGATTCTGGGAGAAATGTAAACAAACAATGCAGTACACTTTTTAAATAATAGTAATTTCTTCTTTATTTCTTGCACTATATAACTTGTGAATATCATGCTTGTAAATTTTGGCAACTAATAAAACCCTGTGATATAGATAGAGACTCTTGACAACTTATTTTTATGTGGTCATAAAAAGAATGTTGGCAAATTATTTTTGTGTGGTCATAATGGGATTGTTGACAATTTATTTTTGTGTGGTCATAAAGAGATTGTTGACAGATTATTTTTGTGTGGTCATAAAAAGACTGTTGACAACTTATTTTTGTGTGGTCATAAAAAGACTGTTGACAACTTATTTTTGTGTGGTCATAAAAAGACTGTTGACAAATTTTTTTTATGTGGTCATAAATGGACTATTGACAAATTATTTTGTGTGGTCATAAAGGGACTATTGACAAATTATTTTTGTGGGGTCATAAAAGGACTATTGACAAATTATTTTGTGTGGTCATAAAGAGATTGTTGACAAATTATTTATGTGTGGTCATAAAAAGACTGTTGACAAATTATTTTTGTGTGGTCATAAAAAGATTGTTGACAACTTATTTTTATGTGGTCATAATGGAACTGTTGACAAATCATTTCTAAATGGTCATAATAGGACTGTTGACAAATTATTTTTGTGTGGTATTAAAGGGAATATTGACAAATTTTTTTTGTGTGGTCCAAAAGAGATTATTGACAACTTATTTTTGTGTGGTCATAAAAAGACTGTTGACAAATTTTTTTTGTGTGGTCATAAAGAAATTGTTGACAAATTATTTTGCTGTGGTCATAATGGGATTGTTGACAAATTGTTATTGTAAGGTCTTAAAGGAACTATAGACATCTTATTTTTGTGTGGTCATAAAAGGACAGTTGACAATTTATTTTTTTGGGGTCAGAAAGAGACTGTTGACAAAGAGGATTATGAAATCCTCAAATTAGTAGCGTTGGATCCTGGAACCAGAGAAGACCTACTCAACTGCTTCTCCTGTAATAAACTCGTTATTTATCACGTATTAATTATATCTAGAAGCATTAAATGTAATTCTAAAGTAATGACCCCAGACAGCAAATGAATCATGGCCAAAAACAAAGCCTCCCGGACAGAAATCAGCTCGAGAATTGGACGAGGATGGCAATCTCAATCTAAAACTTCTTATCCACGAATTCACAAGTCCTTCATCCTACAATTAGCTACTTCTGGAGCTAATAAGCTAAACCTTATCTACTCTCTGGCATTGTTTTAGCTTTAACTTTTAAAGTCCATTTCTTTCAACATGACCTTGCTTGCGTATATTTAAAGGGAAACTAGTAAAAGCATGTCTGCGTGTCTGTGTGTTAGGGGTAGAGGGGGAGTGAGACCCACGAGGTGAATGTGGGTCAAAAAACCCCAAGAAATATGGAAAAACTACCGTTCATATAATAAAGATAGATAGATAGTCGAAGTCTCACGGATAGATAGATAGTTAAAGTCTGGTGGATAGATAGATAACGTCTAGTAGAAGGATAGATAGATAGATAGATGGAGACCAACTCTCTCTTTCTTTGTTCCGAAACATTGCAGGGACTATCCTACCCTCTTCAACATTCAGTTTCGATTTCTATTTTTGTTTGAAACTTTCAATCATATTTATTTTCAAATTTCTCTAATGTTTGAGGGAAACCTGAGAAACCCTTAACCCCGGAAACCGGCGTTTTTCACTCCACTCCGCTACATTTAGTTTCATGCCTAGTCTTTGTCGAAGCTGCACCCGGAGAAATCGAGAAACCCGTGTACGCAAAATCTAGTGTTATTGTTAGCTGGGATTCGATCCAAAATTTAGCCTGAAACTCTGCTAAAAATGAAAATAATTTACGAAAATTTAAACAATAATAAACCCGCAATTGTTTCACAATGCCGGTCGTCTGTAAGAAACAGGTAAGAAAACATATTTTGATGAAACCAATATTTTTAATGGAAATTATTTAATTTCTAAAATATATAAATCAATTTTAAAGATCTGATTATTTTCAATTTTTTAATCATGGTAATTAAGTTTTTTGATTTTTAATTAAATTATTTTTAAAAGTTTTTATTATTCTTTTTTGATCCATGATTATTAAACAATGGAAGCAAATGTCGACTTGAAATGGAAAAAATCTGCGAATTGTGGTATTTCAGAAATGTTTTTTTTTTAAAGTTTAAAATTAAGTTTTTCATTATGATTATGGATTCATTAGGAAATTTTTATAATTTTCAATTTCTATAGATCAATTTTTTAGACCAAAAACCTTTATGGATAAATTTCTCTGTTGGATAAAATGTAATTCCCATGTTCATGAATGAATTTCTAGGCTTTTGGATGAGACTTAATGCCCATGATTTTGGATGAATTTCTAGGCTGTTAGATGAGATTTAATGCCCATGATTTGGATGAATTTCTAGGCTGTTGGATGAGATTTAATGCCCATGATTTGGATGAATTTCTAGGCTGTTGGATGAGATTTAATGCCCATGTTTATGGACGAATTTCTAGGCTGTTGGATGAGGATGAAGTAGAAGACTGGATGAAGGATGTTGTTAGTCTTGAACAATTAGGAATTTATTAATAGTTAAACTGTTTCTTACCACCTTTCTTTAAAAAAAGTTTTCCCTGATATGAAAATATTTTTTGTATCTTTTAAATCCTCGTTATTTTTTTCAAGGATGACTCAAAAAATTTTCAAAAATGAAGAAAAAATCATGCTTGTTGGAAATGTTCTTTTTCGTGCTTTAAAGTGCGAAATCTCTTTGTCTCTTTCTTTGTATAAAGATATGTTTTATTTGTGTTAACGACCTTTTCTACAAACTTTTTCATCTTTGTTAGAAAGTTTCTCCGCAAAAACTGAAAAAGAAAGACGACATTTGTTTTGGTTTTTATCCTTTTTGCGGGGGAAATATGGATCAATGTGAATCGGATTTTGATTTACTTAAGTCATAATAGTCGTCTTCCTTCTCCGCAGTATTATGGGACCAACTATGTTTCTTTTTCCTGTTTCCGCAACAAACATATGGGAATTTACTATTGACTTATAGACAACAAATGTTTCAATTTTCATTATTTTAGATATATTTAAAAATTTTGATTATCCAATATCTTCATTAACTTTTAGTTCACGAACAAAGAAAGTATACCTTACAACCTCTTAAAAAAGTAAGACGATATTTAAGTAGATTATTTAAAGAACGTAGCGTCCATACAAATTCAGAAAGTTGTAATATTCAACTCGGATCGTAAAATAACCAATTAAATTTCAAGCAAATCATTCAGATATTACAACATAATGTCATCGATTATTTTTCGAAGCATTCGTATATAGTTAATATTTCATAAAATTTGTTATTTGTTTATATACAATCCACTTCAAACAACTTTTTTTCCGCTAGGTGTCTCTGCCACGTGTAATCATTCAAAGCATCTGGCGGCCAACTATTTCGGCGTTTTAAATGCATTGTATACAACGAATATTAAATATTAACTATATACGAATGCGTCGAATAATCGATGACTATTGGGTGTAATATCTGAATGATTTGTTCAAAATTAAATATTTTTTTACGATCCCAGTCGTAAATTGCACTTTTTTGAATTTGTAAGTCATTGTAAGTCCTTTTTAACAATTTTCTACTTATAGACGCAACAGATAGAAGTAAACATAGTAGCAATCAAAAGCAATTATTTTTCGCTGTAAGCCGATACCCCCCTTTCTTTTTTCGCAAACACTCCCTTTAAACAAACCCTTCTAAAATTAAAACTATAATCCAGTGCCCCAGAGCCATTTTAAAGGATTATTGGGTTTTTATTGTGTCACCCTGTAGTTTGAGTTTTATGGTTGGAGCTTATTAAAGTTGACACATTACTACTCTTTGTCCTGTGCTAAGTAAAAGTACGTTTGAGAAGTTTATGTGTGAGGTTAGGTTGGGGTGTGTGTATGTTGAACCTGGGCCTTTAATTCCCTAATTCACCTGTCTGATGCCTTGTTACCTACAGCAGAGCCCGAAATTTAAAAGAGTATCGTTGAACGAAACTCCCGAGTTTCCTTTTTGGGGTCTTGGCAATTGTGTAAATTTTGATTTAAGAAATTTAAAAAAATGAAGAATATGAAGAAACTTAATAAAATAATTTTTCACAACAAAAATATTGATATCCACAAAACTGCCTAACCCCATTCTTGAAACCCGGGTTTCAAAACTGGTTTTCATAACGATACCCTGTCTTAAGTTTTGGGCTCAGGCGGTTCTAGCTTTTATCAAAGAACTTTTGATCACAATTTGGCCTAATAAACATTTTTTTTCGTTTTAATCTGAAAAACTCCGTATGTTTAAAGATTGTTTAATTATAGACCAAAATGAGATTGAATTCAAATTGAAGAAACCAAATAAATCTCGCCCTGGTTAGTCCGGGGTGTTAGTTGAAGGGGGGGGGGCATATACAATATACAAGACAAATTTCCAGACATCTCACCCCTCACCTTAAATAACGTTTTCTAAGACTAGGCCTTGTAGTTAAATCGGTAAGAACCACCAGACCCAGAAAAGGAAGACTTATACCCAAGTCATGATTTTAAATAGTTTAATCAAAGATAATATATATATAGATATGCAGGCATATACCTGCGTAATATGTATTGGAACTTACATGTAATATAGAGATCAGTTATAACCAGAACTCCACTTTGTAGAGTAATTTGGGGTTTGTCGATACATACAAATTGAGATCTTACCTTGAGTATTGGTATTGATCTATTTGATAATCACGGAATTGTGGCCGTGATGTCCGGTTTGAGACATTGATCAATGGATTGCTAGTGTCCATATTTACGCCAATAGCTAACAAGTGGCGATTATAAGTCATAGGATTGTAGCCGTTTTGGATCGTGTCTTATTTGAGACATTGATCAATTGATTGCTAGTGTCCGTATTGACATCCATAGCTAACAGGATCGCGCCAAGGTTGTGGCGTTGATAGTTCCTGGGATTGTAGCCGTGTGGATCCTGTCCAGTTAGAATTGAATCATGGACTAGTTGAACCTGGACTGATACAGTTCAATGTGAAGAAACTTTTAAGAGTATGGCATTTACTACATACAGTGTTAACAAACCCATTTCACCTTAGTGACTTAAGTTACTAGTAGAACTGTTTGCTTTGTTACAAAATCAAATACGATTTAGCATTGCTTTAATGTCGTCTTTTAATTCCAAATTTTTTGGGTTCACTGAATTTCTTTAGTTCTATTTTTGATTTGATTCTATCAAAGCTTTGTAAAGACTCCTTTATACCGCGCTACTCACTCTGAATTAAAACTTTTTTTCTTTTTTAGACCTTTTCTATATGTGCAGTGAAACATCACAATAGATTTTTTATCGTGTGCTTTTTCAAATTTGTGAACATTCTCTGCAAGAACCAACTGCAGGAAATCAGTATTGGAGGCGTATAATCCTTTTATATGTATTTTTATGGCTTAATAGGGGTGCACTAACTTTTACAGCTTTTTATCTAATTCAAACCTAGCTGGATCATACAGGAGTAAAGAGCGTTTGAGGGCGGGGGAGGGGGTAGAGGCGTAGTTATACAGGGGGTTTGCCGTAGGGGGGGATATTTCTCTCTATATGCCAGCCATGTGCGCTCTGTTTATTCAGAAAAGAGCTTAAATGCACAAGCCATTTAACAATACATTGTAAACTTGAGCTTGCTTTATAGTTTAAATATTTTTAACAAGGTTTTTATGGCTTTGCACCCGTTTTTCTCTAACTAGCCTTACCCCCCCCCCCCCNCATCTAATCTCTTTTCCTTCTAGTAGCATCTAATCTCTCTTCCATCTAGTAGCATCTAATTTTCCTTCCTTCTAGTAGCATCTAATCTCTTTTCCTTCTAGCAGCATCTAATCTCTCTTCCTTCTAGTAGCATCTAATTTGCATTACTTCTAGCAGCATCTAATCTTCCTTCCTTCTAGTTGAATCTAATCTCTCTTCTTTCCATTAGCATCTAATCTCTCTTCCTTCTAGCCGCATCTAATCTCTCTTCATTCTAGTAGCATCTAATTTTCCTTCCTTCTAGCAGCATCTAATCTCTTTTCCATCTAGCCGAATCTAATCTCTCTTCCTTCTAGCAGCATCTAATCTTTTTTCCATCTAGCCGAATCTAATCTCTCTTCCTTCTAGGCGAATCTAATCTCTCTTCCTTCTAGCAGCATCTAATCTCTTTTCCATCTAGCCGAATCTAATCTCTCTTCCTTTTAGCAGCATCTAATATTCATGCCCTCTAGTAAAGTATCTAGTAAAGTATCTAGTAAAGTATCTAGTAAAGTATCTAGTTAAGTATCTAGTAAAGTATCTAGTAAAGTATCTAGTAAAGTATCTAGTAAAGTATCTATCAAATCTCCCACTGATCTAATAGCATCTAACTCCCTTCCTGGTTTAGACATTGATAGCTGAGTGGAACGAACTGTACCTGGATTATAGATACGTGTTCGAGAAACGGATATAGAGTATAGGGCATTTACTACATTCCTTCTAAGGAGCATCTTCCTAACTTCTTGTAGCATCTAATCTCCTTATCATCTAGTAGTATCTAATCTCCCTTCCTTCAAGTAGCATCTATTCTACCTTTTTTTCAAGTAGCATATGATCTTCCTCCCTTCTAGTAGCATCTAATTTCCCTTCCTTCAAGTAGCATCTAATCTCCTTCCTTCAAGTAACATCCAATCTACCTTCCTTCAAGTATCATATAATCTTCAGCTCTTCTAGTAGCATCTAATCTTCCTACCATCTATTAGCATCTAATATCCCTTCCTTCTGGCTAATAGCATCTAATCTTTCCTCCTTTTTAATCCCTTCATTTCTAGTAGCATATAATCTCCCTTACTTTAGTAGCTCCTAATCTTACCCTTCTGGTAGCATCTAATCTCCCTCCCTTCTAGTAGCATCTAATCTCACTCCTTCTAGTGGCATAATCTCCCTTCCTTCTAGTAGTTTCTAATCTCCCTTCCTTCAAGTAGCATCTAATCTCATTTCCTTCTATTGGTATCTAATCTTCCATTCCGTCTAGTAGCATCTTATCTTCCCCTTCTAGTAGCATCTAATCTCCCTTCCCTCAAGTAGCATCTAATCTCCCCCTTTCAAGTAGAATATAATCTCACTCGTTTCTAGTAGCATCTAATCACCCTTCCTTCTTGTAACATCTAATCTCCCTTCTGTCTAGTAGCATTTAATCCCCCCTTTTAATAGCATCTAATCTGGTTTGAGGTTTAATATTATGTTGAGTCGTTTAATAGTTTTTTCTAATTCCATGGGGCGGTTTTACGTTTTCCTATTCTAAGGCCGATTTGAAGTTTTTCTAATCTCAAGCCGATTTGACATTTCCTACTCTTAAGCTGATTTGACGTTTAACAAATCTCAAGCGGTTTAAAACGTTTAATGCCCCCCCAAAAAACCGGAAAAATCAGGACGCAAATGTAATTCTTATTAATTTTTCGTAGGTTTGTGCTATGTACACCTGTAAACAGAAACCAGCTTCAACTCCTAGCTGCAGCATGTATTCTCCTTAGGTTAGTTGGATTTGAGGTCCATAACATCTGCAGAATATGAAGACGATTGTTAGAAGTTTTATACTAAAACGATGAACGACGACTTTTCTTTTAAAGTTTGATCTTTAACAAGCTTTTTTCAAATTAGAATTTTACAAGTAACAGAGAGATGCTTCTCTTTTTATATTAAATTTTTAAAATTTTACTTTCAAATTTATTTAGCGAATTTTATTTGTGAATTTTAATTCAAAAGTGAAGCAAAAATATATATTTTTAAATTTGCATTGAAGCAATGAATCAAAAAACATTAAAATCATAAAAACTTTATAAAATTTAACAAATTATAGAGAAACAAATTATTTTATAACCCTAGATCAAACAATTTTTTAGATTTCAAAAATCCAAGAAATAGGCAAAATTTAGAAGCTTTGAGGGAAATCTCTAGAAACCCAAATCGACATGTTTAAGGGAAAAAATGTTTTAGGGATCTATGTTTTTTTTTAAATGCTTGCGATGGCCCATTAAAAAAAGAAAGTAAAAAAATTTATTATGTTTGTTTTTTAAGTTAAAATGAATATTTGTTGTCTACGTGTTGGTAATTTTGCAAAAATATTCATATTGTCCCAGAGTTGTTTTCACTAAAATCTTGTTTTTTGTAGTTCCAAAGTATGTTCGCAAAGCAGGGGCTGTGTTGTCGGATGTAAACAGTTAATAGACTATTCAGATAACTGTATAACTAACAACCAACTCCTGGTAAGATCTCTTATAGAAAAAGGGTGTCACAATAAAAACTTCAACTTAAAGCATGCCCTAAAGGGTGTCTGCCCTATCAAAAATATAAATAACTGTCGAATTTTGAATCGTCTTCGATGTTCAAAACAACTAAAACCATATTGTTTTAATTCCGGGATTTCCAAAATGGTGGTCTGTCTGTTATGTGCCTTCTAAAAGATATTAATTCATTTTCAAGAATAAAAGAATCGTCACTTAAATAATTCAAACAATTCACCCAATAATTCAAAAGGACAATAATTGAAGAAACGGATGAAGAAAGGACAAGAAATGGAGAAACTGATGAAGAAAGGACAAGAATTGGAGAAACTGATGAAGAAAGGACAAGAACTGAAGAAACGGATGAAGAAATGACAAGAATTGGAGAAACTGATGAAGAAAGGACAAGAACTGAAGAAACGAATGAAGAAAAGACAAGAATTGATGAAGCTGATGAAGAAAGGACAAGAATTGAAGAAACTGATGAAGAAAGGACAAGCATCTCTGAAATCTCTGAATATGATCCATCTATTAATGATTGATAAGGAAGCTGTCTACGTTTGTTAGCTCGTAATATAACTGACCTGACAAATGATAGACAGCTCTTCCTTGTCAATCTAAACCTTCATCACGTTCATATATAGGTGTACAATCTATATTTACAGTGCAGTACAGTACACTTCAGCATCGACAGCACTCATTTACATTTATCAATGATTTCATGATCATACTCTCTCCTGGTTTTAAACAACATTCATTTTCTCCATAATATATTTCGTTGAAAACCACAACATCTTCAGATAGAATTGTTAAATATATGTAAAATGAAGAACACATAAAAATGAATAATCAAAATAGTCATGTTATATCAAAAACAAAAACAAAAAATAAATCCATGTATCCTCTATAATATCCTCTTTATCCCTGTATAGTGTATACACTGTATCCCTGTTTCCCCTGTATCCCTCAATATCTCTTGTATAAAACTATATCCTCTAGATTTCCTTTATATTCTGTGTCTCCTGTTTCTCCTGTTTCTATATCTCCTATATCTTCTATATCTCTTGTATCTAGGATATGGAACTACCAGTAGTATCTCCCTGTTTTGGAATCTATGTCTGTATCCCTCTATATCTCCTATATCCTCTATATCTCTTGTATCTAGGATATGGAACTACTAGTAGTATCCTCCCTGTGTTGGGATCTATACCTAGAGCCTGCTGCAGAAGATGCCTGCAACCTTATCACTGATCTTCAGGTATTTACAGTTGTTGGCGTGTATTCCAAAAAAATAAAGACGACTTTTCTATCAAGTTTGGCAAACATTTTTCATAATAAAAAGTTTATAAGTAAGCAAAGAGAAGTTGTTTAATAACAGCTTCTCTTGTTGTACCCATGTTTATGTGTATCAGTGTTGTGTGAAAGCTTGGCGAAATAAAGATTGAAATCGAAAGTCGACTTAAATTTATTAATATATACGACGACCACTGTAGGATTATCCAATTCTTTATTTTTCAAACTAGAATCAGATATTACAAGATTTTAAAATCTTTTTATAGGTTTATAGGTTTGTTTTTTAATTAAAATGCCAATTTCTTTAGATTTGAAAATTAATTTTGTTCAGGTATCTAGTTGACTAGTTTATCAGTTGATCAGTTGATCAGTTGATCAGTTGACCAGTTGACCACTGCCTTCCGATTTACGGCCTGATAACCTCATCAAGTGACCATCAAACTTTATAATTTAGACCAAAATGTTGTCACCAAAAAGAAAAGATTGCATTTAATAATTAAAATTCACTAACATTCCTAAAATATAAAAATTCCGCCTCAAATTATTTTACGTTAATTTAGTGATTTTAGCCAAATTTTCATGTTTTAGGAACAATTTTGAAACAAGTGTTTGTATATATGAAAATGAAGACGACATATTTTCGTCTAAATTGTCCATGTATCCTCTAATATTGTTGTGATTTCCTTGATTAATCATTAAATTTACACGAGAATAGAGTACAAACATGGAAGAATGTTATCTTAAGATAAATGTTTACTTATGTAAAAATAACATTTTCCCAGTTTTGTAAAGGACTATTCTCACATCTTTACCAAATTGTATATTTTTTAGCATTTATATTCATTTAAGAATAAATTTACAATTTATACTATGTAGTTGAATTTGTAATAAAATATGTTTGATCGTTGTAATACTTTAGTGTGCAGTAAAACCCGAAATTTCGGAGACATCGAAAGAATTATAAAATGTCGTCTTGACAATCTTCAATGGGTTTTATACAGAGCGTCCCATATCATATTAGATTATCTCCAAGCTTTAACGCCAAAACAACACATAAAACTAGAAAAGCTTAGAATGTCCAGCAAGAATATTTTTATATTAGCCTAATTAAATTTTTCAAAATGATTTAATCTTCTTAAATTTTCTGATTAGTCCTGAAAATCGTAATTTAGACCCATTAACGATCTTAAACATGATGTGGGACACCCTGTTTAATTACACTTAAATCTCAGTAATTATAAATTAAATGAATAGCTATGAAATATTCGGGAACTGTTTTAAAGAAATCCATATAATTATTCATTAAAAAAAACTAAATATCTGCAGCATTCTATTATCAGTAGTTTAGAAGACGACATTTTATGCATTCTCTTTCCCTGTCTACTAATTCCTAAGTTCTGGGTTAAATGCTGTATAGTTACAATTGGAATATAAAAAACAACTTTTTAGATATGTTCTCATCAGGACCTATTCTACCTTTTCCAAAAAAAAGTCCTTTATATAAAATAATATTTGTGATTTTCTTTTTGAATTTTACGAAGTTTAACTGCAATCAAAGTTTCAAGAAAAAGAAGAAAGAAGAAAAGAAGAAAGAAGAAAAGAAGAAAGAAGAAAATCACTTGAAAAAAGTTCCAAAATTGTTTAAAATTTTAGTGCATTCAAGAAAAATTAGAAAAGGAATCTGAAAGCTATTATTTCTTTTACTGCAGTGCAATGGTAGGCGATTACAGCAATATAACGACTTTTTTAATGTTTCACAAGCTTTTTATAGAATTACAAGCTTACAAGCAATTAAAGAGAAGCTTTTTCGATTGACAGCTTCTCTGTGTTTCATGTTTTTGTGCATCCATGCTGTTTAAAAGCTTGATATAAATCAAAATTAAAAATTAAAATCAAAAGTCTTCTTCATTAAAAAGATAAAATCGCCTACCACCGTATTTGACAAAATAGAACAAAAAATCGCTAATCGAGTTTTTTGTTTAGGATTTAGAATTTATCATCTCAACACGAGTTTGAATTTGGTCGGTCAACGTCAGTTTGAATTTGGTCGGTCAACGTCAGTTTGAATTTGGTCGGTCAACGTCAGTTTGAATTTGGTCGGTCAACGTCAGTTTGAATTTATTCGGACTTGAAATAAAAAAAATCGATGTGTTTTAATTTTATTTTCTTTAATCTTAAACATTTTGAAATGTTACTGTAGTTCTCCGAAACTTAGAGTTTCCTGAAATCATAAATTTTTCTTAAAGGGAATATTCACGTAATTTATATATATGGTTTTCAATCCTAATTTCGTTGCGCGCAATTATTTCTTGCACTTGAGCCATTTTATTGTGCAAAATTGCGCTATGATCGCAAAAAAAGCTAAGAAATATTTGCGGAATTGCGTGGAATTGCGTAGAGTTGCGTGCAACGGAAGTGCTTTTCCATCTAAAAATCCATAATTTTAACTGTGACTTACAAATGTATCCAGCAGATACAAGAATGAAAATATCTCTGTAGATTTTAAAATAATCGAGGCCGAGGGTCTCTTATCTCAGATTAAATTTTCTTGTGGCTAAGCTATTAATTAACAATTTAATATATGATACATTTTTAATTCGTTCATATTGGATGAACATTGAATTTTGTTTTCATTCAAATGATTTATAGATTAAATGTAAAAAAAACCTGGCAGAAAAAACTGTCCTTGTTCTTCGATTAGGTCGTCTTCACCCCGCTCTTTGTTTATATCGTCTTCATTTAGTTTTGCAATCAAATCGTCTTCATTTCTTACAGTATCATACGTCTGAGGATCCTAAATACCACAGCTGAGAGTTTAAAAGTTGGATGAAACTGTGACTCTCCATGCGAAGAGTATCGCGGTGAATCGGACATTGATATATTTGGAAGGTCATGTTACACTTATGCAGTCTCTTTAAACTGGAGTAAAACCCACGGCTTTAACGTAATACTCAAGCTTAAGCTAGTAAAAAAATAAAGCATGGAGAAAACAAGCTTTTTTTACAGGGTCAAATAAAAAATACATTTTTAATTTTCTGAAATTTGAAAAATTGAAATTTCACATCGATCTCCCGAGAAAAGGATGATTTATTTAGGGTAATTTTGGCGTCGCTAGTCTGTATGTATACTGTACATTCTATTACCTGGTGTACTGTACATTCTATTACCTGGTGTAGCTGCATAAAGGCTCAGTACTTTAAATGAACCGGAGTTTGAAGTGATTGAAGTAAAAGAATGACCTAACCTGAGCAATAAATGTGAGATTTTTCTTTAATTTGCTCGTTTGTTCCGGGTCACACAGTTTACTATACATTTATTTCCTTTAACCGTGCAATAAAACCAATGAAACAACTGAAAAATTGTCAACTTTAATTTTACTTTTAATAAGGCATTATTCACACATTTTGTAAAGTTGTAAACCCATGAAAATGCGCCTTGGATATTTTTCAGAAATACAGTGAGTTTTAAAAAATTGAAAAAAGTATGTTGGGAAAATGTTTAAAGGGCGGAGGGGGGGGGGNTTTTTCTTTGTCGGTATCCAATTTGTAAAAACATATCCGCAAAGTTTAATATAACTATAATAATAATAATAATACACATTTATCGAACGAACAACTATTAAAAATCGATCCTGACGAAAAAAAGAGGTAACCTGAAAACAGTGGTTGTCCTCTTTTTTCTTTACGAATGGCGCTCAAAATATCAGAATTTGTAATTGTTTATATCTGACATATTTTTAAAAGCTTTCTGACCATAGTTTTAGAGATTAACCATTTCATAATAAAAAGAGCGAATTAGAAGATTTTCATTCTACTCTCCTCCACTGTTTTTAGTTTAGAAGGAAATTGAAACCATTCCTGACAAGCTCTTGAAAGGTTCGTCTGAAAAAGTACTAAGAACTAGATTAAACATTCAAAATACTATTTTTTTCAATGTTTAGACGTGAGCATTAAAAGTCTTTCTAGCAGAATTAATTTTTAAAAGCTAGTAAATCTAAAATGAAATGGAAATACAATATTTTATCAAAATATGATAACAACATTGAAGAAAAAAATGGAAGCAAAAATATCTTGACATTTTCAAAATTCTACATTTTTACAAGTATCAAATCTTTGAGAAACTACTTGCTCGCCTTTGTGAGCTTTAGCTTTTATTTTATGCCTAAAGTATGAAAAAAAAACATAAAAAATTAACATTGTTGTTTAACTCTCCCCTAAACAGAAGAGTTTTGGTTGCAAACATGTAATATTTCAAATTGGAAGTGTAATTTCAAGTGACTTACCAGGCAAAGATGTAAATTCCTGATTTACAATGGTACCATTTAAAAGCTTTGTCTTAACAATTGTATGATTTATATATCCATGCTTTTGTTTATTTAAGATGTTAATTTTTATGGTTTCTCTGTATAGGTGACTTCCACACTTCTTAATTATTAAAACAATAAAGAAATTCACAAAACCTTATTTAATTCAGAAAAACAAGGTTAGATTAATCCACTTTTTTTTATCAGATAAAGGTGTCAAGGGTACCGTTGTAAATCGGGCATTGAAATCTTCACATGGGATTGAGGGGCCCAGCCAGACCAACCCCGCCTTCAAGTCGACCTTAGGCGTCCTTCAACTTTACTAAGTCCTCCTATTTCTACAGTATCCTCCTATTTCTACAGTATCCTCCTATTTCTACAGTATCCTCCTATTTCTACAGTATCCTCCTATTTCTACAGTATCCTCCTATTTCTACAGTATTTTAAAAAAAAAAATTTCTTGTAACATGAGAAATAACCATTAAAATAGTTTTGAATTTAGATGACATCCGACTTCATGTTACTTCTGCAGCCTGTCCCCCCCCCCTTGACTTGCTTGAAGAAATAATTTATTTTGATTAAATATGGTTTTATAAATCTTTTGATTAAATGTGTTTTTCAGAAAAATAATTTTTTGATCGAATGGTTTTTAGAAATAATTTTTTTAGATGGCGTCCTGACTTGGATATATAGATAGACAGACAGATAGCAACATATGGACTGGGGGACATATGAGAGTAATATGATATGGCCGACATTGAGGTAGGGCTTCACTCTCACTTTACTGGTCTATTTACGGCTTCCTAAATATCTGCCCCGACTTCAGCAGTGCCGTTACCTTCCGACTTGAAGCCAAATCCAGGCCTCGTACCCCAGACTTGAAGCCAAATCCAGGCCTCGTACCCCAGACTTGAAGCCAAATCCAGGCCTCGTACCCCAGACTTGAAGCCAAATCCAGGCCTCGTACCCCAGACTTGAAGCAAAATCCAGTAAAAGTAAATTCAACCATGAAGCATAAAGTCTGACCGCGTCAACCTTGTTGCTTGTCCTGTCCATAGAGCAGGTACAGTACAAACTGGGAGCGGAAAGGTTGACCCGGCTCGGAAATTTAAATGTACTACGGCTGCCCGTGCGTACCCCAGACTTGGGGTCTGGCTGGGGATGTCACTTGAAATTGCGCTTACTGAAGTCGTTTTTGTACCTGTCAATATTTTTATGTAAGAGATGAAGGAGCCACCAATCCCCAAACTGTCGGTTTATTTTCTTTAAACACGGACCTTTTAGACGTCCCTTCAGATGATATTGGAGATGCCTAAAATATTAAATCTGTAAAATTAATATGTATTCGGTGTTTGTTTTGGCTTGTTTGTTTGTTTGTTTTCAATAAACGACAATGCCTACATTTGTGTGGCGCCTAACATTCCCATAGAAATAATATGGTTTGAATAATTTGCCATTTACATTTTGATTTAAAATAATTTTGGAAAGATATTGACCAATGAAAAAAAGTCTGCAAAATCTGCAGTTATTGTACAATAAAGCTTTTTACTTATATATTTATGTTAATCCTAGTTGGCTTAACGGCTGGACCAAATTGGCTGAGTTTTTTGGAAACCTTTAAGAAATTCGAAAATTATAATTTTATTATTCTCTTTGGTATCAAAGAACTTGACAAATTATGGAAGAAGATATTTAAAACTATTCACCAACATGTCCTGTTTTATGGGACACCCTGTAGTTTAAAACTATTCACCACATGTCCTGTTTTATGGGACACCCTGTAGTTTAAAACTATTCACCACATGTCCTGTTTTATGAGACACCCTGTAGTTTTGAGAAAAATAATTCTGAAACACTGACCTTAGTCTTATTACTGGAAATGCCCAATGAAGAGAATAATAAAAGAATGATATAATATTGGCTGTCAGCAAAGCCAACTATAAAACATAAAATAAATATATATTTGTATTTTTATTTGTAAATGAAACTGTAAATGCAAATAATCAGGTTTAAGAAATAAAAACATTGATATTTAATTTATACTTGATCAGACTAGGCTTTTAACACTTTAACCCCCCGTCTGAATCTTTGTATAGCCGGGGGGGGGGNGGGGGCTCCCACGCCCCCACCCCCTAGAAAAGGCATTAAAGTAAAGTTATATGGAATTTCAATGCATGATCGTAGCCCAATTTTGTTTTCGACAAATAATTTGCGTGCTAAGGAGATTTGAAGAAAATGTAAAGGTCGGAGTAGTGAAACATTTTTTTGTTTATGACAAATATTAAGCTGTGACGTCCATTTTTCAAACATGTAGTTTTTATGATCTATAGTTTTAATCTCAAAAAAATTAAAGACTTTTTCGAATTTTTTAAAACGGACCGTCCTTTTTACCGTCACTTTTTCTTAGAATTAAAAAATTGTCAGAGTGATTGTATCAAAAATAAGAGTAATAGGGCAAAAAAACAGGATGGGGGGCGCTGTTTAGGGTTTAGAGAACTCTAAAATTGCTATCTTTGTTTGCAGAGTCATTAGAAATTTGCAAACAACATCTTACCATCCAAAAGTAGAGAAAAATATACATTTTTTCATTTAAAATGTTCAGGGGTAAAAGACAAACCGCGTCTAAATTCACCATGCCACCTTAAAAAAACAGGAATTTAAATAAGTCCATTTTTATAACGTAAATAGGGTTTCCAGCGAAAAAGAAAAGTCGTTTCGCGAACATTTTGCATTTTTCGCGAAATTTTTATTCGCAACCATTTTGCAATAATACAAAAAAAAATTCGCGAAAAATGCAGAATTTTGAAAACAAATGCAAAATTCAAACATTGATTAAAGTAAAGACATAATGAAACTTCAAATATGAGATATCAGAGAAGAGAATTCCACAAATTCTTTTGAGCAATTAATTGTTGCAGCTATAAAACTCATGGTTTTCACAAAAATCTAGTATTTTCGCGAAATTTCACTTCGTTTTTGCCTCATTTCTTTTCGTGAAAAAATGCGAAATATCGAGAAAAAGTTTGCGAAACCTTTCGTTCGCTGGAATCCCACTAAACGTAAATCAACATAAAATTATTTACCTAATATTTATAGTTTATTTACCTGATGTATTTAAAGTTTATTTACCTGATATTTCTACATAAATATATAGTTTATTTACCAGATATTTCTACATAGATATATATAGTTTATTTACCTGATATTTCTACATATATATAGTTTATTTACCTGATATTTCTACATAAATATATAGTTTATTTACCTGATATTTCTACACAGATATATATAGTTTATTTACCTGATATTTCTACATGTAAATATAGTTTATTTACCTGATATTTCTACATGTATATATATATAGTTTATTTACCTGATATTTCTACATAGATATATATAATTTATTTACCTGATATTTCTACATATATATAGTTGATTTACCTGATGGTCCAAATTTGTAAAATGTGCATTTACTCATCTAATATTTGTATACTACTGTTTAAAATCTTGATTAAAAATTATTAACTTGTTCATTGAAATTGGCATCTAATGGGAGATCTTTTAAAAAAAGCCTAATCCGTTTATTGTGAAAAGGTTTAATATAATGCGATTAAGTTTCTTAATCCGTGAAAAACAGCTGACGCACATTTCAACTGACCTTTGCCGATAGCATTGTGGCTTTAATGGTTTAAACCTTGAGAAATAAGAAAGAACTTAATTTTGTCCGTTTCAATAAAAAAATCTACGATTTGGAAAGTAGTCATTTATATTTCCTTTGGAAAAATTCTTGTACTTTGTCTAAGAGAAAACTAATATTTTAAAAAGCTATAAATTTATATTTTATAGTTATTATAATTATTTTTAAAAGTTAATTAAATTAACAATACTAGTATGATGATAATGATAATAATAATAATTTTAATGATAATTATGATATTATAGAGGACGTGAGTCAGACTCTAATAAAAACGCATAAATAACTTCCAGTATATATATATTTCTTATAACTTATTACTAGAGGGTTCAGATAATACTAATATCAAAAATAAATTTGAAATATAAAAATAAAAGTGAAAATAATAATCTTATTGATAAAAGTTAGTTTTTGCCTAGAGTCTCTGGAAAAAGCTAAGTCAGTGAACTCTTCAAACGAGATATTAAGAAACATGCTGGTCAAGTAAATCTAGAAATGATAAAAAAATATTATTTTGTTTAAAAATTGCTGAATTCATTAGTCTTTTTAATTTAATTTAGAAATGCAAAATATTTCTGTTCTCCTCATTACGAAATAATGGAGTTATGATCTCAATACACAATACAGGAGTTATGATCTCAATACACAATACAAGGAGTTATGATCTCAATACACAATACAAGGAGTTATGATCTCAATACACAATACAAGGAGTTATGATCTCAATACACAATACAAGGAGTTGTGATCTCAATACACAATAAAGGAGCTATAATCTCAATACACAATAAAGGAGTTATGATCTCAATACACAATACATGGAGATATGATCTCAATACACAATAAAGGAGTTATGATCTGAATACACAATACAAGGAGTTATGATCTCAATACACAATACAATGAGTTATGATCTCAATACATAATACAATGAGTTATGATCTCAATATACAATACAAGGATTTATGATCTCAATACATGTACATTACAAGGAGTTATGATCTCAATACACAATACAAGGAGTTATGATCTGAATACACAATACAAGGAGTTATGATGGAAAACATATGCTATTACAATCTTCCGTTAAATTTACTTTAGTTAGACGTGGAATTTGTATTTAACCCTGGCTTCACCTGTAAAATAGAATTTACTTTAGTAACACGTGGGTTTTGTATTAACCCTGGCTTCACCTGTAAAATAGAATTGAGGATAGCAGCTATGTAACTATATATATACCCCCGTCCATACAGCTTGTGGGAGACTCTGAATTATCAAAAAAATCAAATTAATTCTTTTTACGTAAAATCAAACTGAAAGTTGTTGACGATTTTAATTAACATAACACGCTGAAAAGGAATCTGCTAAATTTTTTAAAACATATTTTAAAGACCTATGCAGTTTCACTTGCACCCCGCGACTGACGGGTTTTCCCACGTAAAGCGATCCGACTGGAACAGCAGTGAGCCTGTCTATACGCAGATAGTTTTTTAATACCTATTTTTGTCACTGAAAATGTATAAAATTAAAAGAAGCATGAGTGTTGAGAAATGAAACAGAAGCGAAAATTATGAATGTCGCCTTGACAGAACAAGCTATGCAGAGGCTGTTCCTTTTCAATACCATCAGGTCCGTAACTGAGGAGGGGAGGGCGCCGGGGTCCCCCCTTGTGTTTCTACAGGCCCCCCCCCCCTCCTCTCCTGTTGGAAATCGAAAACTATTATAACTTACACTGCTGTAAATGGACCATCAGGTTTTAAATTTTTTTCTTCAAATGATGTTAATATGCAGTCTTCTCAATTTTTAGAAATTTACAGGTCTAAAATCAAACGTAAATTTCGTTTAAAGCAAAAATTTTGTAAATCTTATTTAAAAGTCAAAAGACATATTGTAGTAAAAAATCGAAAGTCCAAAGTCAACTGCTTGACTGACTAGAAGCGGCCTGAAAAAGTCTTTTTGATGTGATTTAAGGATTCCTCTTCAAACCCTTTTTATAGGCAGTACTTAAACAGTCATACAGTTCACTCATGGCTTTGATTTTTTGCTAAAACATGTCTTATGACTGTGAAATAACCTGCCGTTAAAAAAATATCGCAAAAAAAAACAGAATCAGCTTAATAAAGTCTTGAAACTAAAGATACATTTGTTTTTGGACCTGCAAATGCACTTGGTTTAAACAATATTTTGAAAATGGAAATACTCAAAATTCCCTAGATGGTATTTCCTGAAAATTGAGATTAGAATTCAGTAGACTGCATATTAACATCTTTTGAAGAAAAATCAGGTGTTTTGACTTGAATCCTGACGGTCCATTTTCAGCAGTGATAACTATTAACTTGAGTCTTAAAGTCAACTTCCTATTCCAGAGTTTTCTGGTTATCACTGTATTTCATTTATTTAATTATTTAACAATATCTGCCCTGTTTCATTTTGCAAATCTTAAACTATTTTTTTACATATATGTATTATATTTTATGAATAAGAAATGATTTGTTTCCAGATATTTTTGATCATTTAAAATGTTGTGCTGATGTCGAAATTTCAATGATATGAAATTAAGCAATGAAAAAGATTGAAATTAAACAATGAAAAAGATTGTAACACTTCACGAATTTAAGGTAAAAAAGTTTTAAGTTTTCAAACTGAAAAATCAACAATTGTTTAACCCCCCGCCGCCTACAAAAACATTCAGTATCGGGCCTATATACTATAATGGTCGCGACCAGATGGCGTCTCTGACTGTGTGCGTCCTATATTATCAGATAAATCTAGCGTGAGACATCTAGCGGCCTAAATTTCGTCTTCAAAGTACGTCATTAGGACGGACTTTGTTCATACGTTTGATGAAATGGTACGGCCTTAGTACAAGCTGTACACTACAAATACCTTGATACAGTAAGATAAGCGACCAATTTTTTTAACATTTTCTCTCGTTTCTCTTCTTCCAGCACAGGGTTATCCAGTTCCTAATTTAAATACACTTAATCAAATAGACCCGACACTCTGGGCTGTAGTAAATTTGAATTCGAACAGGACCTGCCCAGTTTGTACATACGACAGGGGTCAATTTTCTTGGCATAGTCCTGTCGGAGGGCTAACCGTGACAACTCCCATGGCGCGTTCAGACTCTTTACACTACCCGGCCTAATCCTAGGCCTATTTTACCGACCCCACTGGCTTAGTCTGGGTACTGGAATAGGGTATCGCAACGAGACTCGCGCACGAATGAAAGGTCGATACGCGGTACGGGGGGACGTCTGACGTCACTGATTAAGACTATTGGTGGAGAATTCTCAGACCGGCAAAGAAATGCCAATCACAATTATGCGTATACTCGCCTACAACAGATCTTATCCCAAGACAGTTCTAGGACCAGTGTCCACTTTGTGCCCTGTACCGGGTTTTGACGTAGTTAGGTACAGAAGCTAGAATTGTATGACTACCTTACCCTATTCCAGTACCCATGGGCTTAGTCCACCGTGCCCAACCCCCCTGATACATTTCTTGGGAAGTTTTTGTTAAAAATTTAAGCTTTACCCTGTGTTGTGCAACTGGCACCTTATGTGTAAGACTGGACAACGGTTAACGTACGTTCCGTAACTGTTCATGAAGAAAGGACAAGAAAATAACCAGCAAATGTGTTTTAAAATAACGGTGACTTTCATTACTTTTTCTGCTTAAAATTGCATAAACCTTACAAAAACTAAAGAATTAAAAAATATTTTTTTTTAACGTGTTTTGGTGTTTTTAACTGTCATCTTCCGTTAACGTTGTTATCAAGATTATAATCGTTAAGAACGGTATATAGAATGTAAAATACCGTCAAGTGAAAAGAAGTTCAGTTCTTAGAACAGATTTCTAAAAAATAGGACTTTTAAATGATTTTGCCAACCGTTAACAGTTAACTTAGCTGTTTGAAAAAATTAGGTTAGGGCAGTCCTAATTTTGTGGAATTTCCCCCAAATCCAATTTTTTTTTTTTTCTAAACATTGAATGGACATGTCCAAAAATACCAATTCTTACTGCACTGAAAACTTTGGCGCATTTCAATGAGCTAGAAGTTAAAAAATGATGTACAGTACATACACAGACTATATTAAGCAAAACGAGACAGTACAGGGTGTCCCAATAAACATGGGAATTCAGTGACGAATTTAATATCTTCTTTTTAAATAATTCTTTGATTTAGTATACCTACTGAGAAAGCTGTAATCTTTAAAAGTTTTGTCTGCTATGTTCACATTTTGTTTGTTTATGTTTTGACTGCATACGGTTGTACTTAGTAAAACAAGAAAATTGCAATACACAAACAGAGTAAACTTGTCCGTCTTCATTGTTCATCCTGCGGAGATATTATATGACACATCTTTACAGTCTTTTACCCTTTTCATAAAATAAACTCTAGCAGACATAATAATATTATGGCTTTTAAAATTAGAAATTACAATGCTAATTCATAACAAAGACGATATTGAATTCCCATGTTTTTTGGGACACCCTGTACATCAGACAGATCCATCCATTTATGTGATTTACCTGCTTCAGGTTCTTCATAGTTCCCTGTTCCCATTTTCTCCAGACTATTCTTGGTAAATAGTATCCCCCACTCTAAATACAAAATCAAAAAATCGCTAATATTCAAACAATTTTACTATTTTACTTTTTTTAAATTTTGCAACGGTTCTGCTGCCAAATAAGCATTTTTTTGTTGAATGTAACCGATTTTTGTCGCTTAATTGGCAGGCAATATAGAAATGGGCACTTTCGATTTTTTTTTCATTTAGTTCATTCATCGTTTGTGAACGACACATTTTGTTAGATTATTTTATCGTTGAAATAAAATGATTTTGTTCAAAATAATCGTTGATTTCCTTTGGATTTCAATCGTTATCTCACTGATCATTCTTTCAGTAAAATCGTTTGTTCAATAAAAACTTTCATTCAGGCAAAAAAACGATAGTTTTTGGAAATACTTTTTCGTAAGAATCATTCATTCAGTAAAAAAACCGTTTTTTTTAAATCTTTTGAAAAATTTATTCGTTCAGTAAAAAAGAACTTTTGTTTTTTCAAGTTGTTAGAACGATTTTAAACTGTTAGTTTTTGTGTTTTCACAAAAAAACGAGTCACTGGTACAACTTTGTTACATCGTAGCTCCATTAGCTTTGGTTTTAGGAGCAATTCTGTGAGATTTAAATTTATCCATTTACGTATTAGTGTTACGCGAGCCATGCTCCGTGTATGAAGTCTAGTTGATGCCCCTGTGAGTTTCTGAGTTCTCCCTGCGGATCTGTACAGAACGTATTGTGAAAAACTAGTTTTAGAAGCTGTTTACAGACTGACTACGCAGGCGCAAGATTTCTCGCGTGGGAGTGAACAGTTTTGTATTAGTATATGTTTATTTGTCTTGCAAGTGTAACCGTGTCTATAATTCTAGGATCACTGCGGTATTATTTATTATATATAAATGTATGCTTATCGTTTGATTATATTATGATTGATATTTATATATGTGTTTGTTGGTTCCTTGCCACAGTTTTTTAATGCCTGAGGGGATTATTTGTTGTATTCGTATGATTTATCACTCAAAGCTTTTTCTGTGGGTTTACTAAACTTATTTAGATTGAAGACTCAGAGAAATAAACGTTCGGAACCTTATTATCACCCTTTTGTTATGGAGAGCGTTGAAAGAAGGAAGTCTTACAATCCGGTCATGAGAAATACCACACGGTATATATATTAGGTCTTTAGGGAAATCGCTAAGTAGCGAAACATTCAATCACAACCTTGTAGGGTACTGGTTAACTAATTGAGATTTAGCAAAATTTCTCGTCGCCGCTATATTGCCTGAATTGGAAAATATACGGACTGATGTAGGAATAAGCTTACAA